AAAGTCTGCAAAGGTCACATTCGGTCTCGCGGGTTGGACGTGCAACGTTACGGATTGTACCTTTCCGCAGTCTTGGGCTTGATATCGATACTTACCTGGGTAGGCAAAGAGGAGGTTGGACAGCCATTTGTCATTTGACCACCTCCAACGGCCGGTGCATTTTCTGAGCAGCCCCTTCTATTGCTCAAGATCGGAGCTTATGGACATGATCATCTACGGGTGGAAAGCCAAGTTGACAATTGTGACAGCAAGTGCCGTCCAGGGGCTAGTTTCGGTGTCAACTCTGGCGTGATTGGCAGATCGCGTTAGATTTGGTGCATCCTCAATATGACTAGACTAACTCAAAGTCTTTTAATCCGCATGGCAATCCTATTGACCTCCCAGGCTGGTTGCCGTTCTCGAAGGCCGATGATCGCCTCGTCTGACATCCTCACGGGCACCGGGCCTGGATACGCCGGCGGCAGGTGCTCATATTACAGGACACCTCTCCATAATATATTACAACCACTGAATGGCCTCTCGGGGCTTAATCAGCGATATTACTATTCACCAGGTTCAGCACTCAGACTCGAAACGATCGTAACGAGCCAAGGCACCCGTCGTGCTCGGAGCTTGACGGGAAAGGCCATCCTAGCTCGAACGAGATCTCGGCACATTAGTGTCAGCGCTGTCTCATGGGGACGGGGTCGAGTGGTTGTGACGCGGGCGAGGCGAGGAAGCTTCGCCGAACATGATGCTCCCCTCTGCTCCCTTGTCTCGATGAGTGCGGCTCGTTCGCCTACGGTGTTCTGCATGGGACACTCTCTTCATCGCAGAACGAGGTCGTCTAGCGACTGGGCATTCACAACGAGTGTATTTTTAGCCATTTCGCGTATCCTCCCCGTTATTCACACATCAACTACACTCTATCGTCGCTCTGGCTCCTATGCTGCTGTGATGTATTAATCCCAGGGCCCTCCTCTCCTATGGCGCTTTGCATGACTATAGCGACGAGACTCGAGGGTCCTCGGGGCCTCGATTCTGCCGGGCGGGACTTTCACGCATTCCCCAGTTTCCAACAAAAACCAAAGGCATCAAATACGAAGCCATAGTTGCTACCCATATGATAATACGGACATTTCTTCCTCACCTCTCCATAAAGTCACTTCCTTTCGAGCACAGTGTGCATGAAATTTGAGTTATATTCCTAACTTCCCCAGGCCGTGTTTGTCGCTCGGGATGAACACAGAAGGAAACGTAGCGCAGAGCGACCGATTCCCGTTTTTTGCCTGTTTATATCGACCCACTGGTGGTCACGAGCACTTTGACTTGTGACGCTTAGCATCCCCAGCTATGGCATCAATCAGCACGCAGGAGCAAGTGGGGGCGAAGGCATCCCATAACGCTTGATAGTGGCGTCTTATGCTTGCGGAACGGAGACCTGGTGACCAACTGGACGTCTGATATTAGAAGGTGATACAGCTGGAGGCTGCTCGGCGGAACGAGTGGGATGGTGAGCATGTCTTCATCTTACTTGGAGTTCTCCAACGCCGGTGAGCTGAAGGGCCAATACCAAAAGATGGCTGCTTGCTGATTGAGCTCTGGTCGTGATCGGATGAGGTGTCGTAGTACTTGGCTTGCATTTCAGTCTAAAAATATTGGCTCCTCCGATGAGGCTCTGAAGGACACCGAGCTCTTCGCCTAATGCTAATTAGTTTGAAGCATGACTGAAGTGATTCAATAACTGCCAGGTTGTAATCTCATCAGCGCCATCTTTAGGCTGTCTCCTCTAAATCCAGCCATCCGAGACATCAGTTCTCTGCAAGAGCAACTTGAGCTCGTACAGGGGTTCCGGGATCTTCCACATGAGAATGCCTCTACACTTTCTTCAGGATTAACTTCTACACTTTCGTCTTTCGAAGTCATAGGTTGACACCAAGCTGTCGAGGTCACCAGGATTTCATTACACTGGCCCCTTAATAAGCTTGTCGAAGTACTGTCTGTGAATACTTTCGTTAATACTATCAAGAAATACAAAGTAGGGATGATAAACTTCCTCGTCGCACAAGCAGCTAACTACCCAAGGCTGCCTTGATCGCCTAGAGTTCAACCTGGGCAGTGACATTGAACCAATTCCTTATTTTCCAGTTTTTGCAATTCCTCTGATTTTTGGACTCGTCCTTCTCGTGAACGTCCCGACGTACGATAGGTTTCTCCATAGTGTCCAAGCGGTAGTCCTTTATCAGTAGACCAGCCAGCACTACTGGTATGCAACTACAGATAGCAACGGTCAACAATGTTTCCATAGTCTCTTGATACGCTCGATCGATTGCGTCTCTTTCGGGTGTTCCCACCATGTAGCTCCTTGCAGTTTCAATGCTGCCATCAATGTCATCAATTCGAGCTTTGACTGCCTCCGGGAGATATCGCTCCAGCTTCGCCGGTATCAATCGATTCCAAATGGCCCCTGAGATAGCAGATCCGGTGGCGCCACCCATTTCAACTGCCATCAGAAATGCTGCTGTAGCGGTAGACACCTGCTCTGATCCTGCTGTGGCCTGGACGGCTAGCTGAGCAGGCACGTTCAGCATGCCGACCCCTATTCCCATGGCGATTTGTGCACCAATCATCTGGCCAACACCAGAACTCATTGTGGTGTATCGTATCATGAGCCCCACACCCATGACAAAGATGCTACCACCAAGCATGATGAGGTATTTGTAGCGGCCGGTGTATTTGATGATGATCGAAACGACGACACCGGTCACGGTTGAAGTGAAGCTGAATGTATGTGCAATATGTCCTGCAGCTGTGACTGACTGGTTCTGGACGACAAGGAGATAGCTGCTGTAGTAAGGTTGGATGGAGAGGTAGAATACCACTATAATGGTATTAGCAGATATCAATTGCTGTTCCGCCAACCACTTACTAAAGTAGAAGAAGCCGATTCCGCAACCGGCGCAGAATGTCCGGGATTTGAGCAATTTGAAAGGTATAAGGGGGTGGGGTGTCAGATGTTCGTTTGCTTCCCAAAAGGGAAACGCAACGAGAAAGGTGAATCCAAGTACAGTCATCGCGATAATGCTGCCATTGTCCCAGCCATGTTGAGCCGTTGTCGTCAATGTCAGAGGTATCAATATCAACGCGGCAGCGGTGCTGAGAAGTAGGATACCCACAACATCTAGGTCGAACCACTAGTCCTTCATTGTCTGATATATGGTAGCGTGCTGGTGGAAGTGGACCTCAATGGCAGACCTCTTTGCCTTCCTGGCACTAAGGAACAAGCTCACTGCTAGGGGCAGGAACATGATGGGCAGAACAACAGCCCACATGGCATATCCCCATCTCCAGTTTCCAGCCTTCAATATGGCGGCCGCAAGGATTGGACCAATCCATACATTCAACAAGAATGGTGTAACCGGAAGACTGAGAAATAATGCTCGGTTCAGCAGACTGCTCGTGTCGGCGATAAAGATCTGCTGGAGAATTTGGAGCCCAGTAAATCCGGCAGCGTGGAAAATCTGAGCGGAAGCGAAGGTCTGTACATTGTGCGAGCATGCTTGCTGAACGTAGCCGAGAACGAGGAGTAATATAGACAAGGTAAATGCCTCGAAACGGCCAACAATATCCGCCATTTTTGCCATTGGCGATTTCACGATGGCTGTCAATGAATTAGACGCGCTGTTCGAGTGATATTGAGGGATTAGGGAGCTAACCGTAGATGACTCCCTGGACGACAGAGACGGTTGCCATGAGCGAGTGCGTTCTGAACGAGCTTGTTGCAAAGACGGACAAATTGGATGTCGTTTGCGCTTCCAGGGAGGTTGCGAAGGCTATGAGGAAGATGCTGGATGAGATACAGTTAGCGCTAGAGAATAATGCCGTCGTATAAGAGCACTGTACCCCAAGTACGCGAAGATCAGACGCCATTTGGTCCATTGTATCGCGTTGCTGGCTTGAAGTTCTGGCGGAGTCGAGAACCCGGGAGTACTGCTCAAATCTGCCGGAGATCGATTCTTCTCCTCGGGTGTACACGCCTCGACTCGAGCGTTGTCCATCCTCAGTATCAATCGGGCGAGGGCCTCCCTCAAGCTGCAAACGAAATGTCTAACTCTGCTGCAGAAACATAATTTTAGAATGCCTAAGAATTATCTACATTGCAAAGGATGGCCAGTTAGAGAATGGGTCAAGCAACCGAGGATTAGCTTCTTAAAGTGCCCTTCGATGTGAAGAAGGCGCATATGCAACTACTTGGCTTGTTCCTTCCTGAAAGATCGATCGCCCTCCAAGCCTCTTCCTATATCCAGATGAACATGTAATAGATTTTCACTTTGGAATTGATCAAAATGGAACAAGGCAACTGTATAAGCATCAAGTTGTATGTTCATTCAGGTAGTAAAATCCCTACCACAACACATTCCACACTGCCTTAAGGCATACCTTGTTGGTATTGTACATACATTTCTCTGAATGACTAGTGTCACACACCACCACATCCATATCCACACCTCTCAGACTTTCATCGACGTCGCGCCAACACTCGATTGCGTAAAGACAAGGAGTAAAACAAGCCAATCACTCTTGGGCAAGTTTGCCATCAGAAAAGCAAAAAAAAGCAGGCCATGGAAGGCAAGCCGGGAGCAAAATGGTATCTTTCTTCCAAACCGCGGGAATTCGAAAAAGGTCACCGGGGGCCAGAGGGGGAAAATAAACAGAACAGCAAAAGAAAACATATGCAAGGTAATGACAGTGCAGTAGCAAGTAGTGAAGAACCACCACGTTACCCCCCTGTTTTCAACCAGACGTCTCGTAGGAAAAAGTGAAGCGTTGAGCTCGTATAGCCATGCGGATTCATCCGTCATCTATGCCCTCTAACAATGCGAGTCGTAAGGAAAGCCAGCTAGGCTGGGAGATGTAGTCAAACATTGTCACAAAAGGAGGTTTGGCAATGTCGGAGGGTCATAAGTGAGGGTTCGGCGGAGGCAGGCTCATGAAGATAGCAAAGGCAAGAAACGAATCGATCAGGCCTCTTCCATGATGCCGCCCTCACCGCCCCCTTCGTCGCGCCACTCGCGACTCTTCTCAGTCAACTTCCTTACACCACTGACACGACCAGCCCACAAGCCCTCGATCGGCGTTCGGAACGTGAACGCCCTCTGCGAGCTGATGACGCCGATGGCCTGCAGCACCGCCTTCCGGCTATCACGGCCGAAGACAGCTGGGTGATTTATCCACTCTAGGCTGGACTCGAGCTCGGCATCCAGAGCAGCGACGGTGTTACCGTCGATACCAGCAGCAGTGCCCATGCCGCCCAGGCCGAATCCATCATTGGAGCGGCTGCGTGGGAGGCTCTGGGGAGGGAAACCGTTGAGTGTTGAGGAAGTTGCTGAGGTTGTAGGAGAAGGCGAGTGCTTCCTGTCTGGGGTTCCCAGAGCAGTGGGAGAAGCTTCGTTCCCAGGATGTGGTGTTGAGGGGTTTGACTTGCTTGACGGCATAGGTGGAACTGGAGGAAGGCCCCCCTTGCCAAGGCCCTTGAGTATTGACCGCGTTTCGTTGAGCAGAGTATGCGCCCGATCATGCTGTCCCCTGCTGACAAGTGTGAGCGCTCTTGTGAGCATGTCTGACGTAAGGAGCTCCATCCGTCGTTGGACAATGCTCGGATGAGGCGGGATGGGTGGAGAGTTGCCCCACGACTTTGTCTGCTTCTGTGTCGCTGGAAGCATGGTGATCGCCAGCAGTGATGGTCGTGGCAGGTGCACAGCTGTGCCATCCCGGAGGATATCGCCCCAGCTTAAATCAGCTTGGATTAGCGGGACTTCCTCCACAGAGACAGCTCTCTGGTCCTCTTGGTCCATGGGACCACCTAGAGCCTCAAGACCCGATACGATCGTCTCCCATGGATCTTGAGGTAACTGCTCTTGGGAGGAATTATCTGGCATGATGACGAGCTGGACTAAGATATCTCTCTTGTCTCCAAATCTTAGATCGCCCAAAGCTGCCTCGGCATCACGACCTGTCGCACGCTTAGTGATCTGCAGGGCACCGCTAATCTTGTGGAATTTCGCAGGTGAACCCTCGGGAAGCTTGAGCTTCAGCTTCACATTCTGATGTGACAACGTTTGCATGCCACCTAAGCAGCCTGCCAGGCACTCGCGCAGCATCATCCAGTCCTTGACGTAGGTATACGAGGCCTTCGTCCGCGAGGACAGCTCGATCATAGTATCAGGTTTATGGGTCATACCCAAACCAAATGAATGGATCGTGATCTTGGCAGCCTCTGCTCGCGACACAACGAAGTCAACACTGTCCGCATCCGATGTAGACGCATCACTAATAAGCATAATCGTCGCGATCGGGTTGTTGTACTTGCGCTGCATCAGGAGGTCCATCGCCACGTTCGCTCCTTCGACAACGTCGGCGCGATGGCTCTTCTGACCGACCGGCTTGATCGAAGAGAGAACGTTGCTCCAGCCGGGCCACGCCTTGGTAGTCATGCCAACGATGGGCACGCCACCACCACCTGAGCCGAATGTGACCAGACCCATTCGATCACGCTCGCCCAGAGTGTGGACCATGAATCGAAGAGCATCGCGGACCAGGTTGATCTTGACGCCTTGCATGGACGAGGAGATGGGCACAACGACCACCACATCAATAGGGACATGTACCGACTGAAGCATGGGGCTCTTGGCAAAGGCAGTGTACTCTGTCGGGGCTGTTGTAACGGACTTTGGTCCACCCCAAGAGGATGCCTGTGACGACACACGCTGTGGGCGAACGCCCCGCTGCCAGTCCTCCTCGTCAGTTTCTGAGAACTCGCCCCGATCATAATCAGGACTGCGTACAGGTGACGACTCGACGGCATTGAGATCAAGCAGGGCTTGTTGCCACAACTTCAGCTGATTCCGGTTCTCGAAACGAAGATGGAACTGTGGTAGCTCAAGAACAGAAAGACTGAGAGTGAGGATGTTCTCGTCAATGCTGCCTGTCTCGATGACCTCATTAAGGTGCTTCTTGATCAAGATAGATCCCTTCAGGGTGCACTTCGTCGTCTTACGACCCGTGCCGTCCTCCCATTGAGGAGGAGGATTGGGGTTCTTCTTCTCCTTCACACAAATGAGCATCTCGGCGAAAAGGAAGCATTCAAGTTCCTGCCAGGAAACTTTGTCTTTTCCGACACGCAGAGTGCCGTACAATCGCAGCTTGCCGAACCTGCTGAAATCGAGGCCGTGCCAGTTATCCACACGACTTCGGAGGTTTTCGGTCATATCATCAAGCACTTCAGGAGACTCGTAAGGGTAGAAGCGTGGAGCGCTGCGAGCCGGCGAGGGCGGCCGAGCAAATGCTTCCTCGAATTTTTGTTGAGGCATCGGTGGTGCAACCTGGAGATCCTCCGGGTCAGGTCTCCACTTGCTGTCGGGAACCTCGATTGTGATCAGGCATGTGAGGGTCTGTTGCTGCCGTGATCTATTGATGGTTGGGAACTCAGATCGCACTGTCACCGTCGGTGCCGGGATGGGATTGCGAGCCACCGCTCTCGGGCTAGCCAGCGTCGTCTCCATTGCTTGCACATCATAATCATGTCGGCGTGGTGGACCACTCTGTGTGGTCTCCGGGTATCCACCAGATGAAGCTACACCTGTAGCCTCACTATCGCTCCTGGCATGTCTGGATGGTCCATACCGGTCAGAGAGTGGTGCCTCCCGGCTGTCTCGCAGGCTGCCGCGTGCGGCACTCTCACGTCCACTCTGTTGCTGCTGGCCCTGTCTTTGATTTGAGCCACGACTAGGTGGCCGGACAGTCTGGTCATCCCAGGGGCCTGTAGGTGTCGGCGTTGGTGTTCCTTGCGATCTCGAAGTATCGCTCACAGACACCGATCTCACCATGTTGCTGATTTTCTCTGTATCGGCAGCGGCCGAGGTCAGCATCACAGTTATAGACATCTTGGAGTGCCGGGTGTACTTACCAATATCCAGGACATTACCGCCTCGACTTGTGTCGAGATGGAGAGGCGCATTACATGTTGGGCAATACTGCGACTCGAACTCCCTGATGAACTCATAGAAGCAAGCTTCATGAGAGACATGCGTGCAAGAGAACTGAAGTATCCTCTCGCCGCGCAGGGTGTGCTCCAGCGGTTCTTCGCACACGGCACACTCGCTGCCTACGAAAGTGCGCTCCCTCCGGGTGCGACTCCGGTCCGAGCTCATCATGCCGGCAGACATCGTTCTCGAGGCGCTCTCACGCGATCTCACCGAGCTGATTGATGCTGAGGAACGGTGCGACGGTGCGCGAAGAGTTCCTGTGCTAATTGAGTGACCTGCGATGGAGAGGAAGAGCTGTCAGCAAGGTACACTTTTATGGCACAGACGAAAGGGTCTGTCCGCCGCCAAGGCCATATGACACCTGCAGAGTCACGGCGCATGGACATTGACGCATGAAAAAAGAAAGAAAAGAACTAATCATGGAGGATAGCAGACTCACTCTTTTCGGGAAACGACGGGCCTTCGCTGTAGGACCTGAGGCTGCTGGTGTAGCTCGGACGCAGCGTCTCTCTTCCCCAGCTGGAGGCCTGACTGACCTGACTGGGACTGAGTAAACCAAGCTCGCGCAAACTTGATAGCTGCGCCTCTTGCACCCGTTTCTCTTTAGCGTATCCCTGCGATTTGCTATGTGATCGACTAAACATGTGGGGTGGAGGAGGATATCTCGTTTGAGGGAAGTAATCGTGAAGTCGTGAAGGGGTGAGCGGCGCAAGGACTACTGATTTTCGAAGATCGGATCTGGTCGAAGGGGGGTATTATTTTAGGAGTCTGGCAGAAGTCGATCCAAGGACTGCCGGCCTGTTCCTAAAACCAAGGAAGGGTTCGTGCAATGGGCTAAAGACCCAGAGATGGGCGTGGTACAACGGCTCCTGGGGATCCTGGAGGGGTTGTTTCAGAGAGGTTGTCTCAACAATGCTACTGCCAAATCGGGGGGACCTCTGTGTGCATTGTGGCGCAGAGCACCAGATTGACTCAATTGAAGAGGGAGTCCGGGCAGTGATGTCAGTGTAGTCGACGCTTTACCAGCCGCACGAGTTTGGAGAGGCGAGTTGTGGTGTTGCCGCGACGATGGTACTTCACCTCCAACAAGGGCGATCAACTAAAGCCTTCTCGGTCCTATTTGGCGCAGCTGGAGACCTTTGTCGCTTTGCAACAGCCTCGTCGGACAAATGTTGTACAAAATGGAGGGCTCCAGAAAAGGTCTCCTAATAGAGCCGATAGGGATGGAAGTATTGTCGTCGAGTTTCGGTGAGAGCTGCGTGCATGAATTGCGCGGTCAATTGCTATCATATGTCGGTGATATCGTAGTTTTCTTGCTCCCTCCGATTATGGACCGTACTGCGATCTGGAGTAGACAACAGCAAATCCGTCCTCGAGAGACGGCTGCTGAGTATACGGCTGTATTGCCAGACCGTTACAGTCTCTTCGTCGGATGGCTCCTGGCTCACGGGCGGCCTAGTAAGCCACACAGTAGCAAGGCGGTTCGTGACCCGGGGAAGAGCAACGCTTGGAAAGAAGGTGCCCGTGAGAAGAGTAGGAGCAGCTTCGGGCAACAGCAGTGTAATATGGTTGAGCGTAGTTGACAACCTAAGCAGGTAAAGTAGCGTTAGGAGGATGAGGAAACGGGAAAAATGGGGCCATAAGGAGATTTATTTTGTCTAACTACAACTACTGCTGCACATTCGTTATTCGGCCTGGACAACCTCGACCCTCGTCCTGTCCTGACTCCAGTCTGCCAACTACTTTGGGAAGTGGTGGACATTGGGAGCGCCATCCAGGCCGTGGCTGGTGCAGGTGGGTGGCCGGCTGGTAGGGGGAGGGGAATTGGGAGGTTTCTTTGGAGCCCTTTTCTCTATCCTTGTGGGTGCTATCCTGGCCTGCGTCGTCCCCTGGCCCACTCCTTGCCCACCCTGGCCTGTACGCAGTTGGAAGTAACTTCAGACCCTGTTACTGCGTGCACATTGGTCGTTGCCCCTCTTGGGTCCCCGGTGGCCGTTGATAGTTAGAGTACAAGCGGGGATGTCCCTGCAAGTACCTGCAACTGAAGCTGCGACGCCGTCTGGGAGTCTTGGTCGTTCGCTCGCTGCCGGGGCCCAATGCTAAATAGCCCTTGCCGGACCCGTCTGCCTGGGGTCGTTCCTCTATCCACGGTGGACACCTTTCACCCAGCACAGGCGTGCAATATCCAAGGGGGAAATGGGAGAAATAAGCCCATCGCCATGCAGCCTACCAGGGCCTGGAAGGAAAAAGTCGCCTGCCTCGCCAGATATCTCTGGGCATGCACGTTAGTTTAGAGTAAGGGAGACACGAGGAAATCCCTAAAAAGAGCCGGCTCCATGCAGAACAGAAAGATGAGTGCCTGGTCAAGCTTCCAGGCCTTCCTTGGGAAGCCCATTTTCCTGTCCGTCGCCTACTTGCAGTATTTCGTGTGTTTGGCTGCTCGGTGCGCTGTTGTACCGGTACCGGATAACGACCAGGTTTGTGGAACAGGCCAAGTCGACAGCCGGCTCACATTTTCGCAAGACGGCCGTTCGGCCACTGCAGATATTCATCGTCCGTGCCTGGCGGGCGCATCTCTATCATTCGTCGTGTTCGACCGCGACTGCATGCATTGACGCAATACGACGCAGGCTGAAAATGCAGGAAATAGAAGAGCCAATACTGTACACGGTCAAGTGGACGATGATCTTCTGCCCACCGCAGCGTAGAGCAGGTCCGCGTCTTAGCTGCATCAACTGTGGTGAACCGGTGGGCTGTAGAGCGGAGCCAGTAAGAGGACAGGAAGTCGGTGGGAAGGTGTGGTAAGAACGGACAGGAGGGCAACCAGCGGGAAGGACGGGCTGACGGGTGCTTCAGGGTTCTGTGAAATACTGCCGGGGGGCGTGTCCAGTGATCTGCAGCGAAGAGCCTCCCCTTTCAGAAGGCCAGCAGGGCGGTGGAAGGGATCCTTCTGGGCCTAATCGAACGTTTTGTTATATTACATTATTTATGTCAGCTTTTAATGTGAGCTGTGGTCATCGAGGAAGATGAACATTGCTGATCACAACTTCTCAAAAACTGAGCATATCCAGCGATCCTTCGCCTCAAAGAACGGGAACTTTCAAGACGCTAGCTTGCACCTGCATAAAGCACTCGACGCCACAGGCGACATTGGCTTGTGGTTCGCAACGGGGTGGATGGCTTTGCCGGTACTTGAGTTGCCTCTTGAACACCAATGACCTGGCCGGTCTGGGTTGCCAAACAACCGATCACCCCCTCTCAAGGGCAACGCAGAAGAAACGTAGGCAGCACGTGGCGACAAGCGGCGTGTAACCGAGACATCTTTCAGTCCAGCAGGATAGAGGCGCCATGTGTTTCTCGCTTGGTAGTGTCGTGTCATAAGACAGCGGGACCTAAAGTTGGAGCACTGTAAACCCGAAGTGCTATAGTCGGTCGCGACAAGGTGCCCACGCGGAATCCAGGAGGTGTCTAATCCACGACTAATGGGGAGCCTGAGGGGTTCATGCAGAAACCCCTAAATGCAGTCTCTGGAGGCCATCGAGGGCATCGTAGCCTGTGAGCTTGGAGAACACGCTAATTGACAGTCGGCCTTACAGCGGTAGTGAATGCCCTTCGATAAATTATGTTGTTCTCTTTCAAGCTTCGATCCCAAGATGCCAACCATTATTTTGAACGGCCTCAGTATGCCTATCCCGCTAGCTCGACGCGCGAGGCGTGCAGAAGAAGCAGAAGAACATTCAGCATGCCACTGTTAGCCATATGGTGCCGTCGTGTCCAAGAAAACGGGCGGCACTAAGGATACTTTGGCTGCAGAGGCGCAGATTCTTCATGGTCGTATTTTCATAAGTCGGGATAGGTTCACACATCCATCCCGTGACGCCATCTTTGCAGCTCGTCTGTGCGCTCAGACTGTCGATGCCCGTGCGCTAGGCCAATGAAGCACAAATTTGTGCCTCCAGTCCGCCGCTCTTGGTGTGAGCGTCTCTGGATCCCGCTCGTTATGAGGTAAGCTGTGGAAAGAAGTTGAGCATGTGCCACTCGTTGGCATCATCGTGATCCTTTCCCAAAGGCGCCCACCAGGTGAGTAGCGGAAGGAACAGCGCCTTGATCAGCAATGATCTTGCAGATTTGCTCGAAATGGTGGCTTCAACACACACTACCGCAATATGCTATATTCTTAGTGTCCGTGATGTAGTCCATGGTCAATTTCGAGGCAAGACCAACACGAGTAGCTCCTTCTGTCAACCAGACTAAGGTATCACCGTTTTATTTACTACGGGAACTCGGATATGACCGCTGCTATTGCATCATTCCCTCTATATCCGGTCAAGAACTATCTATGGCACATTAACTTTCAGGGAAGCCAAAGTTCTGTCTCGTTGAAGATCAGTTATCCCGTTTTGAAAGACTGAAGGTCGCCGCGTATCGTTGGTGTCATTCGCAGCTTCCGCAATAGCTAAGGCTTTATGCGACATCGTTGCTGCTTCCAATTGCAGCCGGAAAAGGGGGGGCCACTC